AAAAAAAAAAACGATCTTCCCCATGCATTGTTTTTGCTGACTTCACTGCATGCACTCGAATCCATACGATCCGATTTGATCTCAGCTGCACGAAGGGAAATAAGTGTTAATCTCATGCAACATTAAAAAAAAAAAAAAAGAAGCTGCGTGGTGCATGTGCTGTGATATTTATTCAGTGTGGAGCGTTTTTCTTACGTAACGCCTGTGGCTGGTCCTCAGGTGTGAACGGATATCACTGGTCACCTGCCATGTGCATATTACGGCGCAGACTCGCCGCTCTCCCCCCCTGGCAGTATCGGGGTGTTCCCTCAAGTAGCTCTGCAAACACATGCACACACACATGCACATGCACAGACAGGCTGGGAGACGCACTGACTGACTGAGCAGCCTGATGTGCGCCTCCTCCGCGCCAATCCAACCTGCACTGACATAGAAAAAACCAAAAAAAAAACAACCTGTGCACCTCTCACAGGAGCAGCCAGGTGAGCACCATCTCTGCATGTTTCTGTCGACGTGCATGTGCGTGTGCGTGTGTGTGTGTTTTGTTTTTTTTTTCCCTCATGCGACCGTGCACAGCAGCGCCCCTGTGCAGAAAATCCACCGTGAGATGATGTCATGGCTCCGGCGCCACATGCACCAACTGTATATGGAGAAAAACCGTCATCCACTTGTAGTAAGTGTTATGTAATATCGGTGGAGGGGGAAACAAAGGCTGCTTCCTGAGGATCTGCTGCTCGCTGCAACGTGCACACGCTCCAGTGCAGGGTCAGGAGTGTTTGTGGGGAAGATGTGGAGATGATGCCAAAAAAACCAGCTTCAAGAATATGATCAAATTAGATATTTCTTCCAGATGGCAGTGCAGAGGTGAGCCGTCCCCCTGTGGTTTGCTCTCTGAGGCTGCTGCAGCTCTGTGGGCTTGACATCTCGGTGGTGTTTGACATCAACGCCCACGTTTCAGCCTCATGTTGCTCCCACCAAACCACCAAACCACCAAACCACCAAACTGCAGGACAATCCCCATGTAGAGGTGTGTTCAGACATGGCTGCCGTTTGTGATGTCTGGACTTTATGCAGTGATCAAACTTCATCAGGGAGATTTCTCTGATTGTAACCTCTGCGTGGTCGCCCAGCAACCCCCCCACCCCCCCCACCCCAACGTTCATCACAGGACCTTATTGTTTGCATCGTTCGTCATCGCCGCTGACATTCGTCACAGAGAGAGAGCGGGGCTCTCTGTATCAGACATGTCAATCAGACGTTTCCCCGTAAACACCAGAGGATCCTCTCCCTGTGTGTTTGACATCAGAGTGGCAGATATCAGCAGAGGTTACATGGAAAGAATGGGGAGAACATGTTTTTCACCTCCTCTCGCAGATGGCAGACACGAGCCCCAGTCCGCACTGCACATTATTCCACAGCAGCTCGGAGAGCAGCGGGCCTGAAATGAAAAGTCTGGCCGAGGCACCTGTTTGAGGAGTAAACTCAATCAGCGGCTCTGTCCTGGACTCCCAGACAGCTGCCGAGCGAGAGCGGAGGGAGACCAAGCGCACCGCAGGGCCGGCATATAGTGGCTTATTGATCTGTGGAGAGTTCATGCTCAGCTGCTTCTCACCACATATATACGTGTTTGTGTTTTTCCTGTAGATGTACCAAGACTGTGGCTCAGGAGTCGGCTCATCTCGAGGTCCAGCGTTCGACGCCACTTTCTCCAAGATGCACCTGTGAACCGAGGCGGAAAGATGCCACGCACCAAGCAGAACAACCCGAAGAATTTAAAAGGTGAGTTTTGAAAGTGCGCTTCCTGTCAGCTGGTCGATCGTCGCTTGGCGAGTTGCATTTGTGAGATGAGCGTAGCTTTGGTTTGAACTTTGTGTGGCGTTTGCATTGTCTCCTTGTTTCTGCCTGGGGTTTCCTCTGGCTTCTTCCCAAAGCTGAGGGAATTGGAGGCTAATTTGTGAGCGTGGATGGACGTCTGTCTCTCACAACTCCTCGTTGTCTCTAGAGCTCAAGAGGAGTGATGTAACAACAGTATTATATTTTAGGTGGTTGACATATTGGCCCAAATTTAAAGGTCAACATGATTTATACAGAAGTGTCTGATAGATTGTGTTTTGCCAACAGGAAATAAATTCACCACAACTGAATACGACGTCACAGCATCTGCTGACGTTAGTCTCTAATTACAGCTTCTTCAAACGATGACCTTTATCTGTCTGGTTGTGTAGCTGTGAGTTTGTCGATTGTTTGTGTGCTGTGTGTATTTGCAGTGTGTTTTTTTTTTTTTAAATCTGAGCTCTCTGGGACACGGTAGTTAGAAGTCTGGAAGATGCAGGAACTGGTGAAACGTGACTCTGCGCTGTCGATGTTTTTAAGTTAAATCATAAGTTGTGTGTCAAGTTTGTTGCGACACTAACTCGACACGACGAAGCCGTTCAGTTGATTTTCTGCTCAAACTTCTGGTTTAAAGTTGTGTTCAGCTGATGCAGCAGACGTTCGTACTAATGTTTGTATTAATGATGTAAATACACCAAAAAAACTTTATCCACTTTAAAACTCGAGCTGCTTTTATCATGAACTACGTGTTTTGTCTCTGCATCTTTCTAAAGAGAGTTTTTTAAAACATTTTTTGTGTAAAGACATTAACACACAGCAGAGGCTGTGGCCGCCTGGTTAGCCACCGATCTTCCTCAGTTGTGTTTTCATACCGCGGCTGTCGTCTCATATCTGATGAAGCTGAGGTGTCAAATACTTGGATTTGGTTTAAAAATGTGAGATGAACCGAGCTGAATCTGACTTGATCTTCCTGCTGCAGCCGATACGACAGCATCGCTCACACACGTTCAACACGGCAGCACTCGCAGCATATTGACGCTGCAACATCTCGAAAACAAAAACGCACCAATTGGCTCGAGAAAGACCTCGTGTTATGTTGAGAAGCGACAGACTTGCGTGTCAACAGACGTTTGCGGTTCACAGATCTTTGAATATGCAGCGTTGCATGCTGGGTGTGAAAATGTGCATCGCTGCCATTCCCCCAGCAGTCGATCGGCCCGAGCAGATTTCCTCATGTGTGCGAGCGGCCTGTTTATTTATCTTATCAACACTTCCTGTGCGCGTCTTTTCTTTTTATTGAGCTTACTTGGCCAAACAACATAAATAATTAAGTTTCAGAACAGTACATTACATCCCCCAGCAGAGAAGCGGCTGCCAAATGAGACTTGATTCTATTTTTAATGGTGACTATTCCCTTGTTTCTTGCCGAGCAGACAACAGAGCTGCAGCTGCTGCTGCAGCGTTTGGGGGATTTTTTTTTTTTTTTAAATTTGAGAGTAAAAGATGCAGATTTGAAAAGAGCCTGATTGAGAATAATCTGACCGGAGCGATCCTGAATTCAGAGGCGAGGTGTTGAAACGTGTGCGTCTCTGCTGTGTCTTCTCTGCATCGTTTACTCTGTAACACATGTTTTCAAATCAGCAAATGTCAACATCAGTGCTGATATTTCTGTGAAAGGCCGTTCCATCGAGCGGCAGATGAATTGGACGGGCTCTGCTTTGCGGTCGTCTCACACAGAGGCCTCTTTCTGTCCGTGTGCTGACTTGAACTCGATGTTTGTCAGCGTGTTGTGGGGAGAACCCAGCTCACTTCCTCATCTCCTGATAACTCGCTGTGACGTTAGTTTAATGACTTGTTGTGCCTTTTGACCCAGTTCATCACCTCCTCCTCCTCCCGGGTCTGCACTCAAGGCGTTTCTGTAAGCAGACAGTAAATGCTAATTGAACGGCAAGATATCACATGCACACACTCGGCTGTGGAGAACGCCGTTTACTAGGGAACTTGGAGAACACGCCTCACGCCGCCATACGGCCGTCACATGGTGGTGACGGGCTAATAACACTCGGCTTGGGGCTAAATGACTCGCAGGGTTTTTTTCTTCACTTAATAACGGAGCAGTAATTAATCTCAGCTCAGATTTCAAGGTGCTGTTTTACTTTACAGAGTTTTGGGAAGTTGCTCCTCTTTCCTGCCTCGGAGGTTTGGCAGCAGTTTGACTCTGTTACAAAAGAAATCGTCACCGCACTGATATTTTCCCTGCGGTCGTCTGAAATGTGACTTGACACACTTTGTCCTGTCCGGGGACACAAAGAACCACTTGTTTCACAGAGACCAGCACGACTTGGCCGCACTGCTGACATCTATCAGGTGAATTTAAGGCTGTTGCTGCTGGTCACTTTGTTAGAGGGGAAATTGAGCGTGTAGGAGGAAACGAGTACAAACGTACAGTCGGTGAAACTGCAGCCGAAGCTCCAGACTAAACTAAATATAATATATTAATACGATAAGATATCATCAGTTCTTATTAGGGGTTTCTCAGCATTCACATAATTACAGAAACAATTGGTTATTTCCTCTGCCAGAGACGTTTCACTCAGGATTACACAAACACCGCTAAACCAATTTTCTCCAAACTTGGTGAAGAGCTTGGATCTCATCGTCGGAAATGTGGGTGCAGATGTAGAAACGAGGTTTCATGACAAATAAATCATCAAGGTCATCAGACCACTTGCTTTTCTTTCAATCACGTGTAACATTAGTTCGGTCTTGGCGGAGTTATTCTACCTGTGCCATTCTTCGTTTTTATGATTATCCGCCGATTATGACTTTTGTCTAAGAAAGATTTAACGTGTCAAACAACCGTGATATCAAACACGTTGGTTTGACTCATATGAGAAGCTGGAATTAGACAATATCCGGTTTTGTTTTCTAAATGTTGGCTTGAAAAATGCCTGAAATGATGAATCAGTCGTGTTTTCTGTTGATAAACTAGTCGAAGGATTGTTTCAGCTCTAAATTTGTCATTTCAGTGGTGGTGACGTCTCACATCCTGGGATTTTGATGGTCGCTATAAGTAGATGATATCTTTTATATTCTGAACAAGCTTGCTGTTATCTTGTATTTATTGTTGCTTGTTGTGCGACGTGAATCATATAATATTGTGAGACCTTTGTGTATCTTCTTTGTGAATCTTTGCAGTTTGATTGTTTTCAGCTTTTCTTAAGGTTTGCAGAACGATTCCTCTAAAGTCTGTTGAGTTCAGTTCCTGGTATCTCTGCAGGTTTAGATCCATCATGAACATGAATATTCTTCTTATGGTTGTTGTGCCGTGATCTTTAGATTATACAAGTGTACCTAATAAACTGGTCACTCCATGCGTAACCATAGAAATGAATGGAAAGCGAGCAAATCAAAACAAGCAGCAGAGTGGAAGGAAGTGTGAGTTTGTGAGACTGTTCCTGTTTTTTCTCCCACAGTAAACACAACAACAGAGGAATCGTTCCCTGAAAACCTTTAATTCTCGGTTCCTTTTCTTTGTTCTCTCCTGAGACGTAAGAAAACTCTGCTCTCTGAATCATCATCTGCCCTCGAGTGAAACATTTTAACTCAAGTTTTAGCTCCACAAACATTTATGCATTTTTAATTAAACTTTCTAACCTGGCTTCGTCAGTTTATAGAGCTGTGTGTGTGTGTGTG